GCTGTTTCTTCTGCATATCAATGATATGTTGCAAACCCGTAACATTCATTGCTATGCAGACGACAGCACTGGTAATGCTCTTTACACCGGCCGAGCCAATATTTCTCGGGAAAACGTCTCCGAGTGCCGGGACAAATTGTTTCTGAAGTCTAGTCTTTGCTGAACAGAGTCTCGGATTGGGGCGACTAAATCTAGTCCAGTTTAACCCGCAGAAGACACAAGTTTGCACGTTAACCGATAAAAAGAACCCCTTTTTCGTATCTCCTCAGTTTCAAGGCACTCCCCTTGTTGCCTCAGCCAGTATCGGAATCCTCGGCGTCAACATATCGAGTGACGTGCAGTTTCGTGGTAACTTGGAAGAGAAGGCCAAATTGGCCTCTAAAAAAGCTTGGCGTGCTCAGCAGAGCGGGACAGTATTTCATGCCGGCACACCACCTGCGACTTTACAAGGCGCAGGTTCGGCCGCACATGGAATACTGTTCCTATCTCTGGGCTGGGGCTCCCCAGTACCAGCTCCTTCCACTTGACCGCATCCAGCGCAGAGCGGCTCGAATCGTCGACGACCGAGTGCTTTCCGATCGGCTCGATTCACTGGCACTGCGAAGAGATGTTGCATCTCTTTGCATTTTATTTCGCATATACCATGGAGAGTGCTCTGAGGAATTGTTCGGATTAATCCCAGCCGCCAAATTTCGTGAACGCACTACGCGGCAAACGTCCTGATACCATCCACACCATCCGGATGCTTGGCGGTCCACCACTATACGTTTCAAATGGAATTTTTTTTCCGCGTACAACCTCTCTGTGGAATAGTTTACCACCGGCGATTTTTCCGGACCGATACGAGCTGGGGACCTTCAAGGAAAGAGCCTACTCCTTTCTAAAGGGCTGGCAACGCACCTGCAATTCCCCTGGTGTTGCGGTTGATCATGGGCGGCGGTAGTCACTTAACATCAGGTGAGCCGCATGCTCGTTTGCCCCCTCTTCTATAAAAAAATATATCATTGTAAAGTCACAGGAACACAAGTACAGTAACAGTAAGTGACGGGAACCGAATAACTTTTTTCCGGTATATGTTTTCCATCTAAGTCGGTAACAATATATCATATCATTTGTCGTAAGGAGACATAAAACTGTCCACCTGATGGTAAGTAGCTACTGTGGCCCATAGACATCCACATTTATCCGAAATTAAGAATCAAAATTCAAATGCGTTGTCACCCCTAAGGTATACGACGGTATTCCTCGATTCCTGTAAAAAAGATCTCCGTTTCTCTGCACTCACTATAATTGCATACAAATTAACTTGTGATTAGTGCAAATTGTGAATGAGTCGAAAACCGACCGAATCCCTAAAGATTTAAATAAATAGTTTGTAGTATATATATATATATATATATATATATATATATATATATATATATATATATATATATATATATATATATATATATATATATATATATATATAAATATAACATCATTCAATACAGTGTATTAACTAATAAATAATACAAATTATTTATCGGTGATAATATTTTAATGATTTAGTAACTGTATACAGGGTATTATTCACGTAGATTCACGGTTGACCTTATAAGTATATATGCCTGAGCGCTGGGTGCTCTCTGCCCTCTATCTCGAAAAGGGTTTAGCGTATAGAAAAAAAAAGTTGAGACAAAAGTTGTGGCTAATTTTTTATCTTTAATTTTCATAATAGGTGTTTGAATGCTTGGTACCCTAGAAACGGACATAATTACACAAAACCGAATTTCGTGACTTTTGACCTTGAATAACTAACGACGCAGACACGAGATAATATGAGACTTATGAGACAACTTTTAGAACGCCAAAATAAAGCTGTACACGTGTTTCCAGCTTTTAATCTCAAATTCCAAGGTGAAACTCTAAAGTGACTGGACTACTTTAAAATCGTATATATCAAAATCCGTTCATTTTTGGCCATATATATGGGTGTCAAATTTATAGCACTTTGACACACTATTGCACTTCCCTATCATGCCCTGCCAGGAAGTTGTCAAGTTCTCAGTAACCCTGTAGATATTTTTTTTTGTCCTATGTAAGAGAGAAGGCAATCGAGCTTGTACACTCCTGCATCTTAAAGAGGGATATGACACTTAACTAATTCATGGAATTAGTTTCATTTAATGTGTAATATTCGCGTAAATATAAGAAATTGTTCCCCAGTAGAATTTAATAGGCTACAATTGTCCCCGTTCTAATTACAGTGACAGAGTGAAACCGGCCAAAGTCGAAATTGTGCCTGCCATAATTTGTCAGGGAAGTCACAGACTAGATAACATTAACTAGAACATACTGTAAGCCACCGAAGAAGTTTATTCAGTTCTTACTTTTCCGGTCAAATATAATACCTATTCTACAAGTTGCATGAGTGTACAAACTTGATTGTGAATGTGGTCACACATGCATACTACTGTAAGACTTCAAGATACAATTAGCTCTTGGTGTTTTAAATTAAATGAAGAATATTAAAAAGTAATAAAGACCTTTCATTTAATTTAGTTAGTATTTAATTTTATTGAGATTGCAGTACTTTAACTTTTTTGAACCTTTGCAAACCAACAAATTATTCGCAAAAAACCTACTATATTTACATCCTTAGTGTTACCTTTCCGTATGTTTAATATTTTAGAAAAGTGATGTGTGAAAACAGAAAAGCGACATAATATAATAATTGATACATACATAAAAATAAATATTAAAAAAAAATTTAATGTTACATGCAATGCATGAATTATATATATATATATATATATATATATATATATATATATATATATATATATATATATAAAATATAATAAATATAGAATAATGGTGACAAACGAGCGCACAGTCCACCAGATGGTAAGTGGATGCTGTGGCCCATAGACATCCATATTTTCGGTAAAAAAATGGTGTCCTCCTCAGGATCTCAACACTCACCATACAAAACACAGCAGTATTAAGCTGCTATTTTACGCTGGTATTCTGTAAGAGCGTGGTCCTTTCTTGGGCGAGCCAATCCATTCGTGCGCTACAAACTTAATGTAACTGCAACTTAGCTCTACCACGTATGGGCCTTTTTTAATTATCAATAATATATGCTACAAAAGGTAAAATTGTTAAAAATCAGCATATATTTTTTATAGTCAATGTAATATTTAACTTTAAAAATTGTTAACTTTCCAATCAAATTTTCGTTATGTCTACAAGTATTAATTTTTTTTTGTATACGTCTCTTTATTTTATTGCAAAGCTTAATGGGGCTCGTAATTAAGACTCTAGTTTATTTATTGTAGAGGGTTTTTTTCGTAATTGTACCACTGCAAAATTGTAAAACACGGTGGGAATGTGGGAACATATTTACCAATTTTTGCAGCTGAGCAACTATACGACAGCAATTAAACATTATTTATACGCCAAATTTAAATTATCTTCATAATAAATCTCTGAGAAGCACGTTTGTGAATTACATAGAAATTAACCCAGATACTACTGAAACTTTTTTGTTTCAGAATTAACTGATTTTTAATATGTTGTACCAAAACGATGTAGTATTTATGAAAAAATATTTAAAAAAATATTCGTGGTCCGGAAAAGCCGGAAAACGATTGGCGTTATAACGCCCGGTAGTAAGATTGGCTACTAAAAGTAAAAAAATTTTGGAATTAAATGAAACACAAAACTTATGCTTACAATAGTTTATTTGCCAAGAATCTAAACTTTGGTATGATAGGAAATAAAACATATTTTTGTGTGTAAAGACAGCTGACATTTACGACAAATGAAGTTGTTTTTTTTTACAAACAGTGCATCGGCTTTGAGATTCTTCATATTCAATTAGACGATCAATGCGATCGTATCGCGAGGTTTCTCTATAGTTGCTGGGAGCAACTTCTTATACGTCTCCAATTAATCCTCTGGCAACTACTCTACGAAAAGTTAAGTGGTCGTATTCGCCACCATCACTCTTGTATAACTGCCAGGCATTGTGGGTTTCCATATCCAAGCTATGACAAAATAACGAAAAATACAATTTTTCCCCGGAATAGTTCCTGTAGCTTTTAATCCTCTATTACTCAATTCGTGAAAAAGAAGGATAGAAGAAAAAAAGTTATCAAAAAATAAATGAAATTGAGTGTTTGGGTAGCACGATTGTAAAACATCAGCAAAGCTCAAAATTACACTTGCCCCTAATCCAAATTGTTTATAGCATACTGGGATATTTGAAGAATGTCTCTGGTATGGGTCAAACCAAAAAACATACCCCAACCTAGTTGCACCTACCCACAGTTTTTACCCCCATCGGATTGGTTTCCCGCGTATAAATTGTTTGCAACTATAGCCTCCATAGTATGGTACCATAGCTTCGTCAATACATACTATAGTCAAAAGGTGCCATGTCCGAGAAAATTTTATTTAGTAAAGCAAACAAAGGCCTAAGTTTCGCAAATACATCACTATCTGTACGAATGACATTGTTGTTACAACAATTTAAGTGTTTCATTATCATTGTGAAACGATCTCTAGACAAGGCATTATAAACAACTTCAAAGTGAGTATCAGAAGATTTCTCCCAATACATATACCTGCGCGACAACCCTGTATAAAATTATACCCAAAAAAACACTTCATTTCAGAAGTAGTTATATTAGCGATGACATTACTTTGGCTTGCGTAAAGATTAAAGTAATGTACCAAAATTTCGATAACTTCATCATTCACCATACACTCATAGTAGTACAAAGGTGACTGTAGATTTTTTGGGCCCTCACGATCCTGCCACTGTGTAAATTCACTTGGATTGTGCCTGTTGCGCCACGTATATTGTTGGGTTTTGCTTACACTAAGAGTGACGTTCCTCGATGAACAGCTTATAGATGGAGTGGAGCAAGAAGTAGAAGATATCTGTTGATCCAAATCTTCTGGCAAGCATTCATTGGCATTGCGTATTCTTTTTGCTAACACAGACATCATCATATATCATAAGTAATCTCTGCTGGAGCTCTTAGCTGGGAACCTAAAAAGAAATAAATACATTATGCAATTGTTTGATAGTTCAGTGATAAATGAATTTCGTAATATGCTCAAAAGAAATAACCAAACCTGGGAGATTATGTAATGTCACAAATTCTTCATCACCAGAATCTTCGTCTGTTATTTCGTTATTTGGATCTTCAGTTGGAAAAATGGTAATTTCACTGGGCAGATCGTCATCAGAATCTATATTGTGTAATGCATCAACTATGTCGTTGAGATTCCAAGGTCGTTTCGTCAGTGATCTGAAACATAATATGTAGTAATAATAAATAGACGTCAATTTTACTACCGGGCTTTATAACGCCACAAGTTTTTACATAAGATAATTTTCATGAAAAACCATGAAATTCAAGTTTATTTTATGTTACATTTATATTAAAATAACAGTTCTTTACGTGATTCTACGTTATAGTGTTTAAAACTTAATAAGTATATTAAAAAACTTACCTTTTATGCGTACAATCACATCTTAATTTAAAACACGTCTTAACTTCAAAATAATGGACGCACTGTGACAAATAGTATGTGCACATTAAAGACGGACCGTTTCTGATGACGGTAATGTAAGACGATCTTTGTTTATACAACATTGAACATATAAATTGGGCGGGTACATTTATCATTCAATTAGTGGCGTTATACAGGACGGTAATAACAAGTGGGTTAACGAGTTGTTTCTCTGTATCGTTATTGAATACACAAAAAATCTAAACGAATCGCATATCACACAACTCAAGATGTTAAACTATGATAAAACGAAGCGCCCATCGCAGCCACTAAAGTCACGGGTCGAATACATAAATCAAAGTCACAGATCATCTGCACGCGCAGCTCCGGAGATTCCTATTGCACTGCTGTCAGTTCAAAAACCGCGACGTCCGACGCGTGATTAATCGCATGGATGATTACATTGAGCTGCTGCATGCGTGATTTATGTGAATTTACGTCAGCGTCGATCTCAGTAAATCATTGTATTTCAATCATTGAACCTAAAAAAGTACCACTGGGCTTTTTGCTGGTTCTTTCAAGGACATATGTTTTTTTCGAACTTGTGGTAAGTCGTTTAAGACTTACAAAAAGTATAAATCAATATTAAATTTAAAAAAAATCGATTCTACTCTGTGATATTCTATTCTAAACTATTGTTCGTATATTGTGTGTAGATTACATAGTGAATGTTGGAGCATTAGTTCTAGATACGGATGTTCCCAGGGACAAGAGACGACAAAGAGAAATAAATAAGACGGGCAGCGGTATCTTCCTAATAACATCTTAAAATAAAAAGTTTTGTTTGCCACTTGCCAAGTGTTTACGACCTACCGTCACTTTATTTTATATTTTTGTTCACGCGATTTGTAATATGCATTGTCATTGTGTCATCTTAGCGTCTGAGTATTGATCACATCTAACATAAAAATTTGTGTTGTAATTAATATAAACCTGTGCTAAAGAAAGTAATGTGTACTTAAATTGCTCATTGTTAACATTCAAGTTGAAGGAAATAAACCGAAAGTTCATATGTATGCAGTTTTATCATTTCACAATTTCAATTGGTGTGAACAAAAAAAACGTAGATGAAAGCCATCAGCGATACATAAAGAGGGAGTTTTATTCATGGTCCTTACGATTGCCGGATATAATATAACGATACTGGAGAATACTGGCTTTGGAGTTATGACAATATCGAAGTAATTATTGGTGGATTACGACTAATACGTGACATCGAGTTGGGTGTTCTATCATCGTGTTACGTGTCTTCACATCTGCACCTGGAGGTTATTTTGTGTATAAGTGCTGTGAGTGAGTAAATAAGTGGACAAACCGTGAGTACATTCGAGATATCGTAATAATTGGACTTTAATATATTGGGACTTTAAGTGTAAATCGTATATAAAACTTGCTAATTGCTATTACAAAATAAATTGATTTGTACTTTAAAGATTGATGTAATGTGAACTTGTTATATAGTTCAAGGTTACGTGTTTAGCTGAATCTTAAAACAATTATAGTTAAATAATTAAGTACTTAAGTATTATAATCTGTGAATAAGTACGTGTCACTTTATGAACATTGAATTTATAAAATCTATTTCGGATTTTCTATAGTAAATATATTTGATTTATTAGATTACATATTTCAAATAGGTATTTCACGTTGAGATTTTTATAAAGTTTTTTTTATATTAATTTCGTTTATTGTAAAGGATGGAAGCTTATATTAAAGTGCAAAACAATATATATGATCGAATTACAAAAAGATAGATCTAATTTTAAGAAATCGCCTAAAGAACGTTTAGCGAATGATGCGTATTTATCGACAAGATTGGATTCGCTTGAGGAACTTTGGTCTCAGTTTTTGCAAACTCACACGCAAATTATTCAAGTTTCGGAAAGCGATAAATTGAACGCTACTACTTATGTCAAAGCTGATACATATGGCAATTGCGAAGAACAATATATCGATTATAAGTATGAGTTGCGGGAAGCTCGAGCTAATTTAACTGTTAAGTCAACCACTGTACATCATGCGCCAGATGGCAGCACCACAGCTACAGATTCGAATCAACAAGGTTTTAAATTACCAAAGATTGCTATCCCACATTTCTCCGGGAAATATGCAGAATGGACGAGCTTTCGAGACCTATTTTTGTCACTGGTACATAGTAACCCTACATTGGATAACGTTCAACGCTTACATTATTTAAAATGTCAACTCACTGGAGAAGCGGAACAGTTCTTGCGACACATACCAATAACTGCAGAAAATTATAATTTATGTTGGAAACAGCTTGAGGATCGGTACAGCAACAAAAAGTATCTTGCCAATTGTATCTTAAAGAAATTTATGAATCAAAAAACTGTAACAACTGAATCAGCTACAGCGTTACGAGAAATATTAGATACTACTAATGAATGTATGTTTGCACTTAAAAATTTGTCAGTAGATGTAAGTACTTGGGACACTATTGTTATTTATATTGTAAGTTTAAAATTAGATTCCGAGTCCCGTAAGCAGTGGGAACTGCAAAGTAGTAAAAATTGTAATTTATTACCAACATATAAAGAATTTATAGAATTTTTAGAAATCCGTTCACGTTCATTAGAATTTATTGATCCTAAGGTAGCTAAACAAAATAGTCAACAATATAGAACTAATGTTACTCCGAAAGCGTTTCATATTTCAAATTTAAAATGTATTTATTGTTCTGATGATCATCATTTGCGAAATTGTAAAAGTTTTTCAAGAGAAATGACTGATACTCGACGAAATTTTGTCCAATCACAAAATCTTTGATTTAATTGTCTTGGTGCAGGTCACAATGTATATTCGTGTCGCCAGTCGTCCAGGTGTCGTATTTGCAAGAAGAAACATCATTCCTTATTACATCCCAAAAATGTATCGCTCCCGTCGGGGCCTCAAATGAGTGAGGCAGAACCAGATGCTAAGGAAGCAACAGCATCTACATCAACACAGGTAAAAAAATATTAATAATATCAGAGCCTGCTTTTCGCGTTTCAGTGGACAAGTTTTACTTGCCACCGCATTAGTAAATGCCAGATCACACACAGGCTCATTGATCACGTTAAGATGTCTCATTGATCAAGGATCGCAGGCTTCATTTTTGACTGAAGCCGCTGTTCAACTTCTTGGGCTAAGAAAGATTCCACACAAAAGCTCCATTATTGGTTTGGGTAGTGACCACTCAAGTTCTGTTTCCTCTAAAGCGAGGGTAGAAATTGAGATTAAATCACGCCATTGCAACTTTAAAATTTGCGTCCAAGCTTTTGTGCTCAATAAGCTCACCTCAGTACTTCCGGAAAGGAATGCTGTTGTTAATCTTAATCCTGAAGTTTCTAAATTAGTTTTAGCAGATCCTTTCTTTGCAACACCAAATAAAATTGACATGCTCCTTGGAGCAGATGTTTATGGTCAGATTTTGCTTGAAGATCTGATCAAGAATTCACCCAGTGCATTAATCGCACAAAATACACAGCTGGGTTGGATTCTATCGGGTCCAGTTCAGTCCAGATCGAGCTCCAGCACTATTTGGTGCAATCATATTCATCAAAATGATGAATACGAACTTATGAAGAAGTTTTGGGAGCTTGAATCGGATCAATTCGCCTCTGATAAATCACTTCTTACAGAGGAGGAAATTAAATGTGAGAGTATATACACATCAACTACTAGGAGAGATAGTTCAGGACGCTATATAGTACATTTACCATTTCGAACCGATGATCCAAATTGCAAATATGGTAATTCAAAGGCTATTGCAATAAAACAATTTAATCGGCTTGAGAATAGTTTATTAAAAAATCCCAAGCTTAAGGCTGAGTATGCTGCTGTCATAAAAGAATATAAAAATTTAGGTCACGTGGAAACTGTGCCATCTCATGAAGAAGATTCGGCTGATGCTGTATACTTACCTCACCATGCAGTGATCCGAGAGGATAAGGATACTACCAAGGTCCGAGTTGTCTTCAACGCTTCTTGTCCAGGAACCAATGGCATCACATTGAATGACGAACTTATGGTAGGCCCATCACTACAACCTGACTTACGTCACATTATAATGTGTTGGCGTCAATATCCAATTTGTCTTGTCGCTGACATTATAAAAATGTACAGACAGGTGAAAATATCTGAATTACATACAAATTTTCAACGTTTTGTGTGGCGCGAAGATCCAGATCAAAGACTGCAGCATCTGCGCCTCTTAAGAGTTACTTTTGGTACGGCTTCAGCACCTTATCTCGCTGTGAAATCATTACAGCAAGTTGCACACGACGATGGCACGAAGTATCCGCTGGCTGCTGAAAGGGTACTTCGTGAATTTTACATGGACGATTTTATGTCGGGTTGCTTTTCTGTGGAAGAAGGTAAGCAAATTTATAAGGAAATAACTCAACTTCTACAAGGAGGTGGATTTGTCTTGCAAAAATGGAGAAGTAATAGCGAAGAAATACTTAAAGAAATTAATGAAGATGTTGAAGATCAAGCAGAAAACCTGAAACTAAAAATAGATGAAATCATGAAAATTTTAGGACTTACCTGGAACAGAAGAACCGATGAATTTGAATACGTAGTAAAGCTTCCACAGCTCTCTCCTCCTGTAACAAAAAGAAAGGTTATTTCAGAAATTTCTCGATTATTTGATCCTGTTGGTTGGCTTGCGCCAGTAATAATTACAGCCAAAGTCTTTATACAGAAATTATGGCTCTCGGGAATTGAGTGGGATGATGAACTTCCTCCACAATTACTGAAGGACTGGCTCAAGTATAGAAGTGAATTAGATTCACTTACCAAATTTAGTATCCCACGCTGGATCAACATCAATAATGATGATAAAGTTCGCGAATTGCATGGCTTCTGCGATGCTTCAAATGTTGCATTTGCGGCAGTTGTGTACTTGCGAGTGGTTAACTCCAATGGGGAAGTTAATGTTGCATTAATTGCTTCCAAAAAAAGGTAGCGCCCATTAAACAAGTTTCGATTCCGAGATTGGAGCTTTGTGGAGCTGTACTACTCACAAGACTGCTACTTGAAGTGTCTCAAGCCATGGGTATGGAGAAATGTTCTATTCATGCGTGGACCGACCCACAAATTGTGCTCGCTTGGCTTCAAGGACAGCCTAGTCGTTGGAAAACCTTTGTCGCCAACCGTGTGTTGGAGATTATTACTTCGCTGGAACCGCAGCAATGGCAACACGTATCTACCAAGGATAATCCTGCAGATTGTGCATCGCGCGGCAGTACGCAATGGGATGTTCAACTCTGGAAGGAAGGGCCGAAGTGGCTGCAAGAAAAGGATATAAATTTTGCAAGAGGTCAAATAGAAGATACAGATCTAGAAGAAAGAAAAATGAAAATTTGTTTAATTAATACTCACAGTGATGAAGCAGATCCCGAAGAAGAAATATACTCACGGTTTTCATCTTTGAGAAGACTGCTCCGCGTTACTGCACTCTGTAAAAGACTAATTAAAAGAATGAGAAAAAGGGAAGTAGAGGATCAGAAGGATGGGATAATAAGTTTTGAAATTAGAGAAAGTTTAAAAATATGTGTTAAAAGATGCCAAGAAAAACATTTCGGTGAAGAGCTTGCAGATTTAAGAAATAAAAAAGAAATAAATAAGAAAAGTAAGCTTACCTCACTCAATCCAACAGTTGACGAAGACGGTATCCTACGAGTAGGTGGCAGACTGCAGCAGGCAATCCTTAGTGATGAGAGAAAACATCCTATCATTCTTCCTCGCAAATCACAGTTTACAACTTTGATTATTGCGGATGCTCATGAGAGAACATTTCACGGCGGTCCCCAATTGATGCAAAATTATTTGCAATCAAAATACTGGATAATAGGTGCGAAGGATTTAGTACGACTGTGTGTTCGTAAATGCGTCCGTTGTGTACGATATGCCGCTCGTATAAGACACCAGTTGATGGGACAGCTACCGGTTGCAAGATCTACTGCTTGTCGACCTTTCTTAAAGAGTGGAGTAGACTATGCAGGGCCTATTAATATAAGAACCTCTAAAGGCAGAGGTAATCGGTCATTCAAAGGATATATTTGTTTATTCATTTGTATGGCCACACGTGCTATCCATCTCGAAGCAGTAAGTGACCTTACAGCTCAGGGATTTCTAGCAGCGTTTAAGCGTTCTATAGCACGCCGTGGTCATTGCGCTGAAGTATGGAGCGACAATGGGACAAATTTTGTGGGTGCAGCACGGGAACTCAAATCTTTATATGCTCATGAGAGGTCCAGTATAGGGAAGGAAATTGCAGATTAACTGGCTACAAATGGGACTGAATGGCATTTTATCCCCTCCCCATTCCCCAAATTTTGGAGGACTATGGGAGGCAGGGGTAAAATCGACGAAACATCATTTAAGACGCATTGTTGGCAATTCAACTTTGACATTTGAAGAAATGACAACATTACTTTGTCAAATAGAATCTTGTCTGAATTCTCGGCCTATTTCTAAAATTACTGAGAATCCAGACAATCCAATCCCACTGACACCAGGGCACTTTTTGGTGGGAGAACCTCTGGTTTTACCCCCTGATGTCAATTACGAAACATCTAATATCACAAATCTCAGACGGTGGCAAATGACTCAAAAATTGACACAAGATTTTTGGCGTCGTTGGTCAAATGAATATTTGACTCAGTTTTACCATCGTTATAAATGGAATAATATTGTTCCTGAACCTACAAATGGAGATTTAGTGTTAGTAGTGGAGGATGATCTTCCACCTGGAAGATGGTTATATGGTATTATAGTTGAAAAACATCCCGGATTGGACGGAATTACGCGAGTTGTCAGTCTAAAATGTAAAAACAATGTAATTAAACGACCTGTTTCTAAATTGTGTTTTTTGCCAATTACCAACTAATGTTGATTTTTTTGTTGGCTCTCGAGCCTCATATGTTCGTTTTAGCACGTATTAGTAAGAAAGCATGCAATGTGGTAATATTTTATTTTGTATTTTTTTTTGTGTTTGATGTTAAATTCTCGTAAAGATTTTCGTTAGTATTCATGTTTTGATCGGTTAGTTGTCTTAAGGAAAATTTTTGAAAATTTGTCCTTGGTGGGCTGTATGTTTACGACCTACCGTCACTTTATTTTATATTTTTGTTAGTAACATAAAAATTTGTGTTGTAATTAATATAAACCTGTGCTAAAGAAAGTAATGTGTACTTAAATTGCTCATTGTTAACATTCAAGTTGAAGGAAATAAACCGAAAGTTCATATGTATGCAGTTTTATCATTTCACAATTTCAATTGGTGTTAACAAAAAAAACGTAGATGAAAGCCATCAGCGATACATAAAGAGGGAGTTTTATTCACCAAGCCTGGCAACAATGGTAAAATTTCTCGCTACAAAGTTGTCTATGGGGAGGCTTATATTAAGCAGTATATTAAGTATATTAGTAGAAAAATATATTTATTCAATTCAGAATTGACCTGTAGTGAGATGCAGGAAGTCGATGGATGTGGCTCAGGTTCGTGCTTAGTAGCATTACTTGGGGATGCCTGTGTTCACCAGTAGACTTGTGATGGGATATTATGTTGGTAATGACGATGATGATGAATGAATAACGAACGTAATAGATGGAGTGACGATATGATGAAGAAATATTTCAATTATGTTTAGTAGTTCGTTCAGTTGAATGAATAATTGCTTTTGTTAAGCATTTTTATTGAGGATTAATTAACCACCCTGTTCATAAAAATGATGAAAAGATATTAGTTTTTTATCTTTGAAATTGCCGTTTTTTATGAAGTAAGTTAGCGTAATTTTTTCTATAATTTTTATTTCTATTCATCACAGTAATCATCCATGCCACTGATGAATATCAGCCAACGCAGTGGCAGTTCATAAATTTCCTTCTTGAAGCAAGGACCTAAAGGCAACACAGTTCAGTTTAAAATTCTTTCGTATGTTGCTTGTAGAGTATAAGGAACGTCTCGATGCGTACTTCGCGCTGGCGATCATTGAGTTCGTTGGGCACCCATTTGTCATGGTATTTTACCTCGCCAATTTGATGCAAAAGGACTAACATTATTGTAATGGTAATGACCAAAATTTTTGAACGACCAAGGGATTCATATTTGAAGTTGAAATTTCCAGGACGGAAGCGGGAAAATAAATAACAGGTGGTGCTTCCGTTTGTAGTATTCGATCCGTAAACGTCGTTGATGTTGCTTGCCACTAGTGCTGCGTTGCTGCCACGACGGTACTACTATTTCATAATTACTCGAATTTTTAACGTATCCATGATGACTAAAAAGATTCAAATGAGATGAAAACATAACGCTTATCAATAAACAAACGACTAAAAGAAACAATTCCATTTTTTTAATTTTTTTTAATTAAAAGTCTTAGTAAAAAAAATAATGATTTTGAAATGGCCAGTACCGCAGAACGGCAATTTCATAAAGACCTATTTATAATAACCATATTATCTAATTTTTAAACTGCAGATGAGCTAACACCCTATTACACTCTCTCAGGTGTTGAATTTTCCAAAATCCTTTCTTATTAGGTGTATACGTCAAAAAAGGAGAATATTATAAGCTAAATTTCAAGTCAACTGCTATAAACGCCCGGTTGACATGAAATTTAGATGTCGTGAGGAGTATGTGAGTTGGTGATATTTCACTTATATATACTAGATTCACCTTTTTTACCATTTCGAAAGAATAGAGTTTAATAGGTAATAACGGAATAGTAGCCTATGGCACTTATATTTTACAATTTCTTTTCTTTTTCATTAACATATTGTGAAATTGATCAATAAATAAATATTACTTATTGGGTACGTATTATTTAAATTTCGATAGCTTTTCTTTGTTTATTTATTTGGGTTTACATTTTTGTTTTTACTCTTTTAGAAGATAAAAGCGGTCACAGAATAATTTTGTTTATAACCTGGATTTGAAACATTTAAATAATTTCTTTATTTAATGTGACAGTTATAATTGATTTCCAAGCAGCTTATTTATAAGATGTCGGCAGTCGGCCCGGTGTAGCTTTCCACTGTGCGTGTGTGGAAGAGATGTGACAAACACCACTCCACCTCGAAGACGCTTGCAATCACTAAGTGTAGCTGAAACAATAAATAATATAATAAAACGGTCGTTACTACACTAAGAAAGACACACTACCGTCGATAATACGACACGTGTTAAGTCACCTTTATCATCAAGAGAAATAGACTCTGTACTGATCGCTAACATCATCTTAATGGGAGGTGCTTTTCAAACTAGGTAAGATACATCATTTATACTCATACGTGAATCTTAGCTAACTTTAAAACTTGAAACTTACAATTAACAATGCTATGAATTTCTTGTTCAGTTGTGTTGCAGTCTGGACGCCTTACAACACCCGCCGCTGGTCCGTTCGGAGTCTCGCATACTGCACACTCTTGTACACCTGGTACAGTACCGATCACAGCTTCCAGTTCTTCTGGTGAAATCTATAAGAAAACAGTTTTATATAGAATAAGATGACCAACAAGCGCACAGTCCATCTGATGGCAAGTGGATGCTGTGGCCCATAGCCACACCCCTAAGGATTGAGATGGAGTAACTTGTTTTCAGTAAAAAGGCTTCTCTATTGCTTTACACTTTCCATACGAAACACAACAGTTTATTACTGCTGCTATTTAATGCTAGTATATGAGAACGTGATCCTCTCCTGATTGAACCGATTCATTCGTGCTACAACTATAATATAGATGGAGCGTGGTTCTAGCACGAATAATATCAACTAGATAACTAGACCCTATTCCAAGTCATGAAAAGTTTTTATTTTTGTACAGTTAGAGTGATACATGAGCTAAGGTAATTCTGGTAAAGCGATCGCGAATCTACGCTAAATACTTTAAAAGAACGAATTATACTATTATACTATTTAATAAAAACTTGATTAGTTTCCTCTTCTTTCTAATCAACCCATCTAACCTCTCTACTGGTTCTCTTTCCGTAGCAGGAAAGATATTATTGAATCACCACGCTCAGCAAGAGGTTTGGCGCTTACGGTAGATTTGGAAAAAATGACAGTTAACACAAATGAAATTTAATTTTTTTTCCCCGACGAAATATACCGTTTCCGTTAGCGCCTACTAAAGTCCACTGATAACATATGCCTCGCACACGCATTGAGGCAACGCGGCGGACATTTCCTTGCTCTAAAATCCTCTTATAAACAAAGAAGGCCTGTGCCCAGCAGTGAGACGTATATAGACGGTCATTTTATTAGGATAGCGCTGCTGCCCGTCTCATGTTTTATTCCTTCTGTCGTCTTTTTTATAGGATGTGGGTAACAAACGAGCACACATTCCCCCTGATGGTAAGTAGATTCTGTGACCCACACACTTCTAGATCTTTCTTCAGTTAGGAATCAAAATGCAAATGCACTGTCACCCTCGAGGACTAAGATACAACGCCTAATTTCCAGTAATAAGGGTCATTCTTACGACTCACATGGTATAAATGAGGTAGTGGATATTCTTAAACCGCTACTACACAGTACTTCAAGTTTAGATTCCACACTTAAAATGATGGTTACTTATTTTTATTCAGCTGTTATCAGGCAGACTTCCGACAGCCATAAGGTTAGACGGGATGGTTATTCTTATATTTTTTTTTGTATATAGGATAGGGTGACAAACGAGCATACAGTCAACCTGATGGTAAGTGGTTGCTGCGGCCCATAGAGATCTACATCTATCCTCGATTACAAATAAAAATGAAGATGCGTTGTCACCCGTGAGGACTAAGATGGAATGCCTCGTTTCCAGTAAAAGGGGTCTCCGGTTCTCTACACTCACCATACGAAACACAGCAGCATTAAGCTACTATTTCACGCTGGTATTCTGTGAGAGCGTGGTCCTTCCCCGGTCGAACCGACCCATTCGTGCTACAATTATACTACTAATATAACTGCAGCATGGCTCTACCACTCTGCCACTAAGCAGTACTTTGTGCATTAAGTTACAAATAAATAACAAGATTCTTACGTGATAATTCGAATACTTGAACCAAAATTTCTTTCTTTCCACAAAGAACATAAGCCCGTCTTCATTTTGGTAAAATACATCACCAGTCTTCAACCAATTATCGTCTGTCACGCATTCTTTGTACGCTTTGACATTTTTGTAATAACCCTAGAACAATACTAAAATGATTAACAATTATAGCCCAAGTGCTCAAAGCCCTGTTCCTCAAAGCTCAATTTTTGGCCTATTCCTCTTCTTAGCTTATATAAATAACAAAGAGTAAGTAACTTGGCAGGGATTAAGCATGATATAGTTTTATTTTCAGATGATACTTTGTTGATTTTTAAATTTAACGGCATTTATGAAAATAGTATATGACAGAAAATAAATCACGGTTACTACTTTCAGGTATTGGAAAAAATTCCACTAATAATTTATATTTTATGCTAAAATAGTTTATTAAAGAATGAAAAATATAAGATAAATAATATAAGAGTTAAAAAAATCTTTAAAAACACGTATTAATCATGAGATGATCCTGATATTTTTTAATTTATATTTATTTTATTTTATCCTGTTGATCCGTAACGGATTAGTAAGCTGAAGTGGCAGTGGGCCGGCCATATAGCTCGAAGAACCGATAACCGATGGAGAAGAAAGGTTCTCAAATGGCAGCCTCGTACCGGTAGGCGTAGTGTAGGGCGACCCCCACTAGATGGAGTGACGACCTGGTAAGATATGCAGGAAGTCGATGGATGCAGGTGGCTCAGGACCGTGCTTTGTGGCATTACTTGGAGGAGGCCTATGTTCAGCAGTGGACTTGTGAAGGGCTGTAATGATGATGATGACGATGATGATGATCCTGTTGATACTGTTCAGGATATAAGGATAAAGTTATTAAATTATTAAATTGTTGTCCTTGACACGATTGTAAATTTTGAATTCAATCGTCCGTCTATAAGTTAGTAAAAATTACGTTAAAAGATTCCGTTACATACTTAGACAGATAGATAGATAATAAAAAGACACATCCGAAGCTAATAAAATCGTATTCAAATATATTAAATTATGTAAAATTGTAATGTTACATTTTAATTTGATATGTTATATGTTACGTTCATGTGTTCGCGACTGTCGCAGTTATCGGAAATATGTAAAACAACACAACTTTTAAAATTTTCAAACTATAGCGATTGCTTTGCGTAAAATGTTAACGCCTCCAGAAATGTGCTTGGACCGTACACTACCCTCATACTACCCGGCATTTCTTTGGAGTTTTATTTCGTTGAGTCTTATCTACTCAGATAAGACTCAACAACAAAACAAAGGGCTGAGTCACCTGAATCCATCGACTTCCTGCATGTCTAACCGGGTTGTCGCTCCATCTAGTGAGGGGTCGATTTACACTCCACTTACTGTTGTGAGACGGCCACACGAGAACCTTTCTTCCACATCCGTTGTCGGTGCTTTGAGCTGTATGGTGGCAGTCCATCTTCCTGATTCATTTGATTTCTCATCTACTAATCTCGTTTTCATCTCACCTCTTTACGAATGTTATCACACTATGAAACTCCAACTATAATCTCTAATAGTAATTCGCAGAGGTACTTTACGCTTCCTTATACGGTCATAAATGCAGAACCACGTCTTAGATTCATATCGTTACTGGTTGTACACTCTTTATTTTCAGTGTTTGAGGAAGACGTAACGGTAATTAATGGCGTAGTATTCTAAACGCTGGCCAGCAAAGATCCGTCGACAAGGGCTAATAAAGCAAATTATACATGAAAATAGAGTGAAACAAGTGTGTGCCTCTCTATTTAAGATACATTGTAGTAGATACTCTAACCACTATTCCACGCGGTATTCATATATAAATATATAAAGTAGAAACATATATAAATACATATTAAACCTTTAAAATGCACAGCTTGCTCCGTAACATCAATTCTCCGTTTTCATTTACTCCAACTTCTTTACCATTCTCATCTTGAAACTGAAACAATTTAATTAATGTAAATGGCGTGTATCCTGACAGCAGTGATATATTTATTCATTCATTAATTACAGCCTTATGTCCTGCCTGTGCCTTCATAAATTACAAAATTTATCAACAATGATACAAACGTTAACTGATTAAGGTTTAAATACTTTTATTACTACAGTTCATTACTTGTGGGCGGCGCATGCTCGTCGGTGCTAAGATATATGCTGTAATGTGTACTTTTTTATTTTTAAGTCAGTTTGCTTATCTTTAAAGTTTAATTATTACTTTACCATTTTAAATAGACTAAGTTGTTTCAATAGTTGAAGGTAACAAATAGAAAATCGTCTTAATTGCCTATTAATAAATTAAAAAATACATGCCCTATTTTTCAACCCGGTATGAAATTGAAAGAAAATATTGGAGCAACCCTGAAATCCTATTTAATCGTTAAAATTAGTTCTGCCGTTTATTTAAAATCAGTGAACATACATAAAAACATACGCGTTCTTTAATATCATAACGTTTCGTTTCTAAAACTCGGTTAAAAATAAAAATATTGATTTTTATTTTTATTTTTAACCGAGTAACCGTGTAACCTCTAGGCCCCGGCGAGATTCGAACTCGCAATCTCCTCTTTACTAGACAGGCGCTTTAACCAACTAAGCCACGGCGCCATTGTTAGTGCTGGTAAAATGTTTATCGTTTGAATCGATTCGATACATATTTTTTTATAAATGAGAGTGGGGTAAGTGGTGCATCTTGGGAGAGGTCTAAAAGTGGAATAACTTAGACTACACGTTGTTATGTGAGAGTTCATTAGTACTTCGACTTTAATTCTTTTATCTCGTTGGAAGTTTGAATTTGATACTTCAATCCCCATAAAATTCCCATGCAGTCGCATTCGCCTGGCAAATCCCGAGCGGTCGCATGCGACCGCACCCACCCACAGCACTTAAAACTTTTAAAACTTATATGTTTGGCATTATAAAATCTATATGAAATTTTGTACCCTTTTTTTTTTTGCATGGGGAAATGCCTACGCATACCTGCCTCGCGGGGGCAAGGACGGGTTATGTCGGACTCGCACCGACTAAAACCCCATGGTGTTCCACCTTTGTCGCATATTGGCAGGGCTACGGGAACGCTTTCGCACACATCCGCGGCCCTACTAGCGCCTGCCGCCCCATGGCAGCACCTCCTCGGGAGAGGAAAAATCCTCCCCGCTCTCCTTCCCAGGTAAGGCGCACCAGAACACATGGCGCGCCTTCCTCCACGGCCTCCAACTACGTCTGTGCAACAGACGCCCCCGCGTCCGATGCACAAAGGCCATGGGGCCAGGAAAAACGAGCACTTAGAAGTAATAGCCTTCCCGACCCCACCGGCGGATATGGTCTATGGCTCCGCCGCCAACCAAGATTCGGCTGCGGAGGGTAGGAGAGCGGCGCCTCGCAATACCGACAATCCCCTCTCCCCCCGCAGCCCCACCACCACCGCATCAACGGTGCGGCCCCGTTTGAGTCGCGAAGGATAGGGCGAGTGGCGCATCGCCATACCAACACTCCTCTTCCTCCGCGACTCCACCTCGGCTGCAGCGGTAGAGGGTGCGCGAGTCCCCACTCGCTGCAGCCCACCAGTACACATCCGAAGCGGGCTCCCCAAGCCCACTCGGAGGCGGCCACCTCGGGCCGGCCCTTCACCTCGGGCCAGCCACGTGGGTTCCTCTTTGTTCACTGTGGGAGACCAAGCCACGGCTACTAAGCCCCCCCTGCCACGACAAGGCGGGAACCCGTTCGGGGGGGGATGAAATTTTGTACCGTGTGGTCTAAACAAAAGTCAGGTTTTACTTCATTACAAAAATATTTATTTGTATTCCTTCTCCCTTTCCCTAGAAATGCCACAAAGCATGGGCCTGAACGGTCCTGCATCCCTCGACTTTCTACATTTCTTACCAGATCGTCACTCCATTTTGTGGGGGGTCACCCTACACCTCACCTACCGGTACGAGGTTGACTACTAGAGAACCTTTTTTACCCATCGGTTGTCGGTTCTTTGAGCTATAAGGCCAGCCCATTGCCACTTCAGCTTACTAATCCGTTGGGCTATGTCGGTCACTCTAGCTCTGCTGCGGATGTCCTCATTTCTAAGTTTATCACGCAGGGAAACCCCGAGCATAGCCCTATCCTACATAATATAGTATCAACTATATATTACTAATCGATGACAAAAAATGGGAAGGTTTTATATTCGACGTGTATGTTTTTTATGTATGGTTAGCAATTTCTCAGCAACGGCGGAAACAATTTAAATTATTTTTAATTTTGGGATTCCATCTTAGTAGTCAGGTGTGACAACATTTTTTTAGTATTAGTTCTTAATCAAAGATAGTTATAAGCATCTTCGGCTTGGCACAAATTAACATCAGGTACACTGTGCTTCTTTGAGAACGTGTTTTAATCAGAAAATGTGCAAAATATAACCAATAACACGAAGTTAGTTCATGAGAGTAAGTATGAGTATGTATCCAAAACGAAAACAAGTAATGGGTATTAGCTATGATGCTGTACTGACTTTTTACGCAATGCAATGCTGCTTGCAATTTTTATGTCCACGTTGTAATTATTGTATAAGGCTTTAATAGAACTTTCTGTTTCTATTTAATGGAATTTTGTTAAAAATGTTTTAGTGAAAATAACTTTGGCTTTATGTTATAATTCAATGTTCACTAAGGCTGTAAGTTTTGTTTAAATGAAGAGAAAAAATATATTTTCACTTCGCTGTATGGTGGTGACTTGAAAGTATCAATTACCAATGTCGTCTAATCGGTGTTAAAATAATGGAAATAAGATTTGGAAATCCGAAACGCGTTCTAACAGAGACGGTGGGAAAACTTGCAATTGCAAGATTTCAAATGCGCACTCTAGTGAAGTACAACTTTCAAAACATCTGGTCTTGTTAATACACTTTGAAGCCACAACGTGTGAAAAACTTTGACAAACTGTGAAAAACGATCTTATTCTGTGCAGGTGACTATTTAGGAACAGCTCGTGAAAGAGATATTTTAATTAAAGAACACTACTTGCTCAATACGTATAATGTAAATTTTTACAATAACGATATGAAATATGATTCAATGTTCTTGTGCTTCCTCTCGATTAATTTCAGCTTAAACGTTTTAGCTTATTGTTACGAATGACCTCAATGAAGTTTAAAAACTATAAAGTATCTTTTAAAATCAATACTTTTTATTTTCTCACAATATCTTTACTCAAAGACGACTCCGCCTTTGTGAGTGCATATATTATGTACGTGTTGTATTTCTTGACGAATTTTGAAGCAAGATTAACAAGACCTTAATCTTACATCTATTTCCTAAAGAAAATTATCCGTCGTACAATTTCATTCATACTGAAATGGTTAACGATCAAAATCAAAGGACCAGAGGAAAGAACGACGGTTCCATGGCGCAGCGGATTAGCATTGAATTGCTGTGCTAAGGGTCGGGGTTGAACAAGTATATGTATGGCCTTCAAAAATTGTTCCAGGTCTGGTTGTTTTTCCTTGTACATTTTATGTTTGTAAATTGACTTTACGATATAGGAAAATTCATAGTTGAGCGTAAGGTTTAGAATAAATAAAAAATCAAAGGAGTAATTAAAATATTGAACTATTTTAACATACTCGTTGAATGTCGGACTACATCATACCCTTTTAGTCCGTCTGGGTAAGTACCGTCCGCTTATCATACTGATTCTGTCAGTCTTAGGAGTCTCTATTGTGAATAGTCAGAATGTATCAAAAAGGCACGTATGGCAATTCACAATGCTGTGTTGGTCCCTACTTCAACGTATGGTAGTGAAAGTTGGGTGTGGAATAAGAAGTACGAGAGTAGAATAAACGCAGTAGAAATGCGGTCGTTAAGCAGTATGTTAGGGCTGAATATGAATGACAGGATGAGAAATTGGTTATTAGGAGAAGAGTGTTGTTTGCAGGATCATATTGTGACCAAGATTAAGAAAGGAGTGCTTCGGTGGTTTGGTTTTGTGGAAAGAATGAATGAGGAAAGAGTGTCAAAGAAAATGTATGTTGCAGAAGCGAACGGCAGAGTTGGAAAGGAACGTCCTATTTAGAAAACGGGCCAAATTAGAAGTACCCTTAACCAACGAGCACGTATGCGTAGGTATATGTATGTGGAGGAAGCGAGAGAGGTGTATCAGGATCGTGCCAAATGGAAGTCTGTAGTCTTTGCCTATCCCTCTGGGTAACAGGCGTGAGTGTTTATGTTTATTTTTATGTCTTAAGGGTATAGAAACCTACAAACTGTGAGACATTCTAACTTAGTCCTTAGAGGTGAAAATCTATATTTGCTTGGTAATATGACCACCTGATGGTAAGTGGCTGCAGTGGCCACTTAACATCAGGTGAACTGTAAGTTTGTTGTCACTTCAGTTTTTTTAAAAAATATTATATATAATGTGATAAATTTAGGTAATTCAAAAGAAGTCCGTTCACTCCTTTCTGTGATTTTTACATTTATTTTCAAAATAAAACAGAAGCTCAGGAATCCATTATAATTTTTTGTCGCCCCCGTAGCCTAAGTTATCCATTAGGATTTGCCAAGCTTGGAGATCGTTTGTCACTTTTAAAAAATAGCTAACTTCATAAAACGAGTGTAACCTAAAGACAGCTTTAAAAACCTCTCAATCTAATTTTATTAAGGTATTCTCATTCACATTATGAAGGGCTTACATTGTGTTCCTAATTGGAATGCGAACAGAATGACTTTGATCCGGATTTGGTACTTTACGGCGGTTTACTCACTGAGGAACGTCTTTAATGAAATACGTGTTACTTTTAGAAAATAGGAGAAACAATCAACTCGAGTCTTTATTGATAAAGTTAATTTTCTAAATCGTGAGACACATTTAGAATTAGCAACGATGAGCTACAAATTTTTAAGGTTTTTTTGAGTGCATCCCTTTTACGAATATTACCGATGGGTGTTCCGATGGGTCTGTTATTGTTTCTTATATTGACATGAATACTACAAATTGAATAAAACAAACTTTATGAAATTATCACGTTTAATTTAATTTATTTTTACTTATTTTAATACCTGACGTTTCAGGTACTTTATGATTGCCCAATGACTGCCCGTCTCCACGTGACCATGGGTGCGTATGTCGAGAATTTAAATAAGTATAAATGAGTTGTATAAATGCGATAAAATCAGTAAAATTACTTTTATTCAACGATTCTTTTATGGTTTTCCAATCCCTATAATTTTATTATGCTATTATTATATTAACTTTGAAAATATTACCAAAAAGATGAGACTATAATTTTATTATGCTATTATTATATTAACTTTAAAAATATTCCCAAAAAGATAATATTATAATTTTATTAAGCTATTCTTATATTAAGTTTGAAAATATTACCAAAAAAATAATACTATAATTTTATTACGCTATTATAATATTAACTTTGAAAATATTACAAAAAAAAAACTTTGGTTTTTTATTTTTTTTAAAGGAGAATTTAAAAAAAATTTAAAAAAAAAAAAAAAAAAAATTAAAAAAAAAAATTTTATTTTTAATTATAAATATAGTTGTTTTTGAAAGTTAGTGTTTAATTTAAAAAAAGAGGGAATAACATATGACTTTTCCTTTTATTTTACCTGAAAATTAAAAATATTTGCAATCATTCCCGTTGACTCAAACGGAGTCTTTTGATCTGGGATGGAGATGAATCCGTGTGTTTCGGTCATTCCATAGCCATTGCAGAGGTGTACACGTTTTGATAGCTTTTCCTAAAATAAAAATAAAATACATCAAATCCACTGCTCTTCTCCTTACATTCTAGAATAAAATTAGGCTAATCAATATGCTTACAATCCCCCAGCCTTACTAAATGACAGACGTCAGATTTTATTTTGTGTACACAAGTATCAAAGAAATCAAAACAAGACAAAAAATCTGAAACAATATTTTTTGCATAAATGCTGGTTTGAAATTCGTATTATTAAAATTGTGTTAGTTAATACCGAATAACAAAGCTACTTGATAATCAGTTAAGGAAAAATGAATATTTCTTATATACCTTTAAAGCTTTCATTGTATTAGGGCCTGGCTGAGAACCAGTAATTAAAACTGTCTGAAACGATGCCAAATCTTCAGAGGCAGCTGCAGTAGATAAAGAATTGGCAAATGCTGGTCCAAGAAGAGCCCATGTTGGCTGTAAGAGTTGGAAGATTTAGGTAACGAATACACTAACGTTATGGTTGCATTGTACCTTAACTGGTGTCAAGATTCAGAATTTGATGAGCAGTTTGAATATTATAATTTTTTTATAGAATAGGGTGACAAGCGAACACACAGTCTACCTGATGGTAAGTAAGGGCTCGACACATAGATATCTACATTTATGTTCAATTAGGAATCCTAATACAGATTCGTTGTCACTCCTGATGACTACGATGGAATGCCTCGTTTTTAGTAAAAAAGGATTCCGCTTTGTTGTTCGATTCATTTCCATTATTGTGTTGCAATTATAGCGTTATAGACGGTAGTACATTATTAAATAATTGTGTTAATTATTTATAATTCTTTAAAAAAATTAAATACTTCTTTTATAAAATATGTTCGCCTAAAAATTAAAAAAAATCTTATACTGCTAAAGGTTTAGAAAATGTAGTGGACAAAATCAAATGTCAATCGTTTAGTGGTAATGAGTTAACAACAGTTTTTTTAAAGAATATTAACAATGCTATTAACATTACTAATATTCCCCTTAACCACTTGTGGTAAGCTTAAATTGCTTGTGTTACGAGTGATTCACGCCAGTAGGCGAATGGCGGATTCGAACCCACGATCTTTTTGAGTTCGCGGTCCGCTCCCTGCCATTAGGCTTCTGTCGCTATACAGTTTCTGCGACCTTTAACAAATTTTTAGTCTACATGAATTAATATATTTACCTTGTTTCGTCGAATCATTTTAAGTACACTATCAATAGTGGGTGTTGGAGTCATCAACAATGTGATTTGATAAACCGGACAAGTTGTCATTAAATTCGTATGCGTCATCCATTGCGCTGTTGATATTAGCATCGCTATATTAGTTGGTCGAGGAAACTGGGTATGATAGGCCCTTGAATCGAATAAAGTTTTTGATTAAATTTCCTTTTTCGTACCGTGTAGTGGCGGTGAAAGGATATCACTATCCTATATCATACCGTGGGTGTAAGAGGCGACTGAGGGTAACAAATCACGAGATGGGCAGCAGTGTTTTCCCAATAACGACTAAAAATAAAAAAACTGCGGTTACCAACCCGCTTACCAAGCGTGGCAACTATGGCACATATCCTTCCTATGAGGCAACCTGTGTGGCAAGCCTACGCTCTGCAGTGGACTTTGATAGGCTGTGACGGTAACGCAGTACAAAATGACTTTATATATATTCGTAATACGTACCTTTGCGCATAAACATAGTTATATATTTGAAATGCAAAACGGTGTAGTAACCAGAGTTAGTTGAAAAACTAAAGAGAAAAACGAATATCTTAACAAAAATTCATTTATTTTTCATCAATGTCCAATCTATATCAACCCCTATTTTTAACAAACTACCTGGTCCACAACTTGCTAAATATTTCGATGTTTAATATTACATACATAATATTCCAATTTCTTTTAGACAAGTGTTACTACTCAACTAACGATTTTCTAAGTAAAAACTTTGATATATTTGATTTTAATTTTTGTCATTAGCTAAACATTTCCCTATTATTAGCATTTTCCTGCTTAATTTTATAATAATGTTACGAGCTTAGGGTTCGCGACAGTACAAACTGCCGATTGAATTACCAAAATTGACACTTTAATTACTGAACACCAATTAAAACTTAAACCACACTAATAATTAATCACACAACACTTTAGTTCACTTTATTTCGCTCCGAAAGCTTCGCTCGTATCGTCAATTCAATACTGCCCCGGTCGCGACGTCCAAAGGCCTTAAATAGGTCTTTTCCACCGAAACATCCAGAATGTTCCAGCAAATACCGGTCCCGACCGACTAAGTGCAGAAAGTTCGAATGTGGACTTTTCTAGAAAGCTTAATTCTTCTATTCGATACTAGATGACGCTGTTGGGAGAATTCTAGAAAGATCTTGACACTCCTATTTCTGACTCTTGATGCCATGAACTGTGGTGCGCAACAATAATTTACATGACACGTATTGTATACATATCTACTGAATATTAATTTAATAGTCTTCCTACGTAAATTAAATGTTTGTACGTCGATGCCGGCAGAATATTATGGACATTCTGACAAATAAATATATCGGTGCGTCTGTAAAATACTAGATAGATCGAGAGTGAGCGACAAGTTGCATCAATCTAGCGGAGTGTCATATCGATGGTCATGTAAATGGTGGTAGAATTGAGGGCATATTGAGAAACCCCCACTCCGTTGTGCGGTATAAAGTTCATTGTAGGCGTCGTGTGCAAGAGATTTCGCCTAAGGAATTCAACGAGTGCTTAGACTGGTAGAATGACAGTATCGTAGTTCTGTCCATTGTGGTAATTTTCCTAAGGCGGGCAAGGAAGATGGTGACGCTGAAAGGCTGTGTAACAGTGAGACGTGTAGTGTTGCTGTTCGTTTATATACTATGTTGTTAACATGTCAGTACGACCCTCAAGTTTAATTACTGTGTAATAATTGTGACGGGGACATATTACGGTTTGGTCGAACTGTTATTACTCTATATTTAATGTATAATGTTAGCAGTACGTTGTTTTATTGCTGATAATGATTAATTGCGTCAGCAGGAGCTAGTTGAACATCCGCTCTCACACTATTATTATTTTAAACAATCAACCATATGACGTATCCCCGATATTTCCGAAAAATAAATAAATTTTTGTTATTATAATTATTATTACAAAAATAACTTTTACTTACCAAAGAGTTGGTAACTGAGCCACCAAACCTGTGTTACTTAACATTGCAGCTTTGGGTAATCCTGTTGAACCACTTGTAGGTAACATTATTACTGTCGAATTCACGTCGACACCTATAATTCTGTATTCAATTAAAAATGCTCAATTGTTTTTATTTATTTTTAATAAGTAATAGTAACCTAATAATTGGTTAGTATTGTCTGATTCATAAAAAAATCCTTTATAAAACTTTATATAAAAAGAAATACGAAAAGTAAATTACTGTGGCAACTACGTCCACGCCTGCCACAGCCACGACGGTGTAAACCGTTCACGGCAGCCAAGCCAAGGTCACTGCCGTGTAGTGGTGCCGCTACCCTATGTCATCTCGTAGATGTAATAAGAAGTGAAGGAAAATTAAAACAAAATAATTAAAATCGTGTTTGTCAACTCGCCAAGCATAGCAACTATTCCAAGTATACCATCTATGAGACAGGCGAACGTTCAGCAGTGGACTTTAAATAATGAGGGGAAATAATTTTACGCTACCCAGATGTCGCTAGTTACAAGTGAGGTGAATTGATTTGTTACACAATATCATCTTAGAAACAAGAAATGGCATTTTAAATGAGAGTTTATGGATTTCCAGTGTACGTAAATACAAAAAACAATGCCTCAATGGTTTACTGTTTAGTATTTTTCCCATTGTTAACTTTTGTTTTCATTTTCTACTTTTAAAATTATAAAACTTACTAAATATTTCGGAAAGTAATTTCACTCTTCATACTTTTCTAATAAACTAACTTTCCCCCCTATAAAATCTTTCAAATATTTTACCTCATTCCTGAGTAATGGCTTGGTAATACCCTGACTGCCTCACTGGTCTAGTGGTTGTAAACGCGACTGCTTTATGAGGTTTCGGGTTCAATTCCCGGGTCGGGCCAAAAAAATTAGTTATTGAGTTTTTCCGTCAAGAAATTTTCCGTAGTCAAGTAAAACCGTTGATCCTGCGCCTCATCTCTCTCCGGTTGAGTCTGTTTACTGTCCCATCGGACTATGAAAATGAGGGAATAGAGAATGCTCTTATGCTTGCCATACACTTAGACACTATAAAACTGTCCTACGCCGATTGCTAGTCTCCGATGAGGCTGATCGCTGTGCCGTCACCGAAATTCGGTCTGAAGGACATTGTTAAATAAAGATACGGTATTTGCACATGCATAGTGTTGGAGGATGGCCACCGCTCGTTTCACATAGGATTAAAGAACAGTTAGTTAGTTTGAATTAATTAACGGAGTAACCTAGCTCAAATTGTTTGGTAATTAAAATAAATTAAAAAGGAATACAGTCCTTTCTATCATAGCATTATCTAAAGCAAGATTTATTGTGAATGAATTTAATTAAATTTCGAGTAAAATTGAAAATCCAAAAATGATAATCTTATGTTGTAGAGCCACGCTGCAGCTATATTATTGTTATTGCACGAATGGGTCGGCTCGAACGGGAAAGGACCACGCTCTCACATAATACCATTGTGAAATAGCAGTTTAATGCTGCTGCGTTTTGTATGTTGAGTGTATATATAGAAAGAGTATATATAGAAAGTCGGAGATCTGTTTCTACCGGAAACAAGGCATTCCATCTTAGTCCTCAAGGATGACAACGTATTTTAATTCTTAATCGAGGATAGATGTAGATGTCTATGGGCTGCATCTACTTACAGTGACGGGTATCAAAATAGTCTTAATATATATGTATATTTTAAGCAATAAAATTATATTAATAAGCATAAAGTTAATACAAATACATTTCAGACTTTAGACAAATATTATAGTAAATTTAAGGCAAAATATTGTTTTATAAATAAATTTATTCAAAAACTTGTAAAAATATTTAAAATATGATTGTTGGCGCGACTTCTAACGCCGCCTAGCGACGCACCGGAACACCAAACTTTTTAGCTACGAATCAGAGCTCGTCATTGTTAGCAACCAATCACAGCACGTCGTGCAATTAGTTATAAGATCTGTCTGTTTTTAAATTTTGATTATTACCTGATACACACTGTTAGCAATAAGACGACTTAAATATAACCAACAAACGTTCAATAAATCAATCATTGAAGAGCACCTGCCTCCCGTTCCTGTACATAAAGTGGTCCTATCGAGCCGAATAAGGAGTTCAAGCTTGGAATCTCCGAAGATTCGTCGCATCAAAATACGAAGAGGAGATTCACGTATCGAGCGAAGAGCTGCAACGTTAAGGCATCGACAGACAGGAGTGGCAGGTTTGAACTTCCCGTCCGTTACCCCATCTCATCCTTCGATAGGTGTTGATTTCGTGCTGATATTCCATTTCCAGTGCTCAAGTGGCGGTACCTACCTGCGCAACGGCACCCACCTTGGTTCGCACGCATCTACAAATTGGCAACTGTAAGTACTCTTGATTTCCTTAATTTCCCAACATGAGTGACCCCAAATTGCCAGATTTAATTAAGAAAAGAGGAGTTTTAAAAGGTCGATTAACTATGTTTGAAAATTATGTTAAAAAGTTCACTTTACCCTTGACTGAACAACAGTCATTAGAATTAAATTTACGTGTCGAGAGTACTTCGAGTTTGATAGAGATGTATAGTGAAATACAGACTAAAATTGAAGAAGAGGTAGCGGAAGATCTCGATCTTGTAAAACAGCTGGAAGAGAGAGATCGTTTCGAAAATCAATTTTATTGTGCTGTAGCTTCTGCAAAACTTTTATTGAGAAAGGAAGTATCTGACAAGTCTAGTGTTTCAACATGTAAGCTGATAGGCATAAAGTTACCCGATATTAAAATACCTTCCTTTGACGGTTCATACGATTGCTGGCTAGAGTTTAAAAATTCTTACGTTAGTATGATTCATGATCGCGATGATTTAGGTCCTGTTCAAAAATTTCATTATTTAAAATCGTCATTGTCCGGTACCGCGGCACACGTCATAGGTGCATTAGAATTTACGGCTAACAACTATTCTCACGCATGGGAGCTATTAGAGAATAGATTTAATAATCCGCGACTATTGGTTCATAATCATGTGAAGGCATTATTTAAAATTCCATCGTTAAATAAAGAGTCCGCTTCCCAGATTAGGAACTTAATAGATATTGTTTTGAGAAATTTGCGTGCCCTTAAAACGTTAGGTGAACCAACAGATTCATGGGACACTTTAATCATTTACATGGTCGTTTCCAAATTAGATCAGGCCATTGAACGCGAATGGGAAGATTTTCAAGGTACAGCTAGTTCATTAATTGAATCGAGGTCAGCTTTGAAACTGGATGACTTACTTAAATTTCTTAAGGACCGCGCCGACGTTTTAGAAATGATAAAAGTCAACCATAACAAATCCCACGAGAACAAAGGCGGCGAACAAACGCGCTCTAAGAAACAATATACACATACTCATGTTGCTACGAACGTTACTAACAATAACAATAAGGGTAATACGAAACTAAAACAAAGCCGCGTGTGTGTGATGTGTCATGGTAATCACGCGATTTATTCCTGTTCAAGGTTTCTTAATTCGTCTATCCAAGAAAGGAATAAGATAGTTAAAACGCATCAGCTGTGCATCAATTGTTTACGCGCAACCCACCCACTTGACGAATGCAAGTTTGGGCCATGTAGGTTGTGTGATAAAAGGCACAACAGTTTGCTTCACATTTATGGGCAGGTAGACGGCGCATCACAGGTGAGCGGGTCGAGTGCATCAGCACAGCCGGTCACCGCTAACGTCTCCACTGTCTCGTCATCATTACACGTTACGGCTAACCATTCAGAATCGCAAAACAGTAATCAGGAATATTCGTTATTACCCAACGTTTTGCTGTCCACAGCGTTAGTGGACATAGCAGATTATAATAACAAATATCACACTGTACGCATTCTGCTAGATAATGGTAGTCAACATTGTTTCATAAAGAAATCGTTATGTGAAACATTAAATGCACCGTTAATACAGTCCACTTATCACGTTGCTGGGGTAGGTCAAATAATTTCGCAGTCCACCCACATTTGTAAAATAAAATTACGTTCAAGGTTAAATTCGTTTAGTATGAACATTGATTGTTTAGTGTTGCCGTGCATTACAAATCAATTACCCACATTTAGTGTCGATGTAAATAATATGAGTTTACCTGATAATATTCAACTTGCGGATCCGAACTTTCACTCACCGTCAGACATCGATATACTGATAGGCGCGGATAAGTTCTGGGAATTATTGTGTGATGGCAAAATTAAGTTGAATAAAGGACCTTATTTACAAAATACAAAATTGGGTTGGATAATGTCGGGACCTTTACGTAATAACCCACTTCCCGTTAAGAGTGTGCAATGTAATTTCTCCCAAACAATTGATACACAGTTGAAATTGTTTTGGGAACTCGAAGAGATAAACAATAACGTTAATAAAACATCCTTAGTGCTGACGAACGTGCGTGCGAAGACATTTCTGTCAAAACAACAAAACGTATGGAAGATGGTAGGTTTTCCGTACGCATTCCTTTAAAGGAATCAGCTGATGTGCTCGGAGACAGTTACACAACGGCTGAAAAACGTTTGTTGTTGTTAGAACGAAAATTCGCTCGTTCGCCACAATTTCGGGAAAAATACGTAGATTTTATGGGGGAATATGAAAGGCTCGGTCATATGAGTTGCGTTGAAACTTATGAGACACCCCACTATTTTTTGCCGCATCACGGTGTTATTAATGAAAATAGCAGTACGACTAAACTGCGCACTGTTTTCGATGCAAGCGCAGCGACGTCGTCCGGTAAGTCGTTGAACGATATTCAACATATTGGTCCACCACTTCAGAATGACATTTTTAGCATTTTATTACGCTTTAGGCAATATAAATACGTGGGTTGTGCGGACGTTGAGAAAATGTTTCGGAATTTTCTTGTACAACCAGATCAACGAGATTTACAGTTCATATTATGGCGTAAACTTCCGTCGGACCCAATACGTGTATATCGCCTAAACACCGTGACGTATGGCACTGCGTCTGCGCCATACCTTAGTATGAGATGTTTACGTCAGCTTGCGCTGGAATGTAAGGATCAGCAGGTTGCGAGAGTAATCCGAGAGGATTTTTTCGTTGAT